AAAAACATCTACATAGGAAATCCAAATCTTTCAGAAGATTATTTTATGATTATTCATAATGAAAAATGATTTTTAGACATACAAAATGATTTTATCACTGATGTTTTAAAAAACCGTTTCTTCTTTTAACGTCCAGTTGGACAGGGGTGCAACGTTCAAGTAGCTGAACAGGCATAGTAAGCCATCTGTCAGATGCAGGAAGCAATGATGATCTGTCTTGAGTTCTATAGCAGAGGATCAATATAAGACAAAATAGCACTACAATTTAGCAATAACCTTAAGGCATTATGAACTCCTCAGAGCACCCAAAAAGGAATTGTGTTGCAGAGAAAACCTGATCTACTTTAAGGAAAAGCACCAGTGCGGTTTCCTAGAAAAGATATTAAGCAAAGAATACCTCCAACACTGCACAACCCACATGGGCAGTAATACTGAGAAATCGTAATCAAACACAACCCAATAAGCATGCAGTAGAAGTGATAATGACGTTGGATACGGATTTGAACTACGTGACCGCTGATTTCATGAATGTTATTGGATATAGAGATAAATACAGGCAGTGCTCACTTTTTATAGTAACGTAAGACCGCAAAAATGACTGTGTGAGTTGAAATTGTGCAAAGCAATCTTAATAATCAATGGGGGGAATTACGTTTGTTCAATGACCTTTAAAAATTTTTGGTCAAAACATTAAAAACTCCCTTACTGTCGTTTATAAATATATAAGAATTGAAAATAATAGTAAAAGTAGTATTTATTTATTATGCCATAATTTAAAACATAAGACACCTTGAGAATTAAAGTGCTTTCTTTATTTGTAAAAATCTTATGCAGAGTAGTCTGACTGGTGCCTGTCTTCCTCTGATCATACACCTTATGGTATGGGGCTAGCATCTTTTTTGTGATTGATGAATTGTAAGATTCCTTCCAAATTTAGTTCTGCTTCCAACATTCTGTCTGTCCTTTCAATGTCATGACAGATCTCTGAGAGCCCCTTTAATGTAGAGTTTTCTGCCAGCGTCCCTTCCTCTGGGGCATCATCATCCTTTCAGTCACAACCACTCTCCTCATTTATGTCAGCTAGTTCACCTTCACTAAGCTTGTCTAGCAGTGTAGCTGGAGTCTCTCAAATGCCAAATGGTGGCACTGTCAATATTCCAAATTTTACTTTCAGCATTAGCACTTTTCATTTCTTTGCTGGCAATTCCCCCTTTCCGTGATCTAATTTTGTAAAATGTCATGTGGTTTATCACCAAGAGACAAGGAGTCAATGTTGTCTGAACAGAATAACGAATGTGCCATGACCAATCACCCAGAGGCTTTGAAAGAAGTGATATATGATCGGTCACAGACCATGATGCACATTTGCTACTGACATAATGATTTATGCACTGAAGAGTGAGCAGAGAAGCTTGCACTTTATGTGATGACAGTTAATACAGCACGCTAACTGACATCTGAACCCCTTTACTGGGAGACTGGTGCTATCTAGCTACACCGTGGTAACTGATTTGGGTATATCAGAACCATGTAAAGGGAGGACTGTTGTGTACCAACACTGTTGTTCAGGCACTTTAAAAACTGCTCTTATACAGATCCTGGGAGTGGGGGAAGACGGAATAAAGAAATAACCTCATGTTCTAAAAGGGAAGTATTAACCAAGTGCAGTATAGGATAGTAGAGGTAATAGAGGGTAGAGATTACAGGTGCCTGTGAACCCACGGCGCCCCATACTGTGTCATTTCAGGCAAGAGCCCAGGCTCTGTGTGCCTCTGTAAAATAGAGGATAATAACATTACCTACCTTTTAGGGTTATCATCAGAACTCAAAGTTAAACAATATCTACTTACAGGGTTATCTTATATGAAAGGCTGAAAACAATACTAGCGCCCCGTAACACTTCATAAACACTAACTGTGAGAGCAGGAAATAAGAGCAGGAAACCCTTGTAGGTGAAGGAGATGTGGTCGACAGGAAATTATATCTAAACCAAAACAAAACCCTGACGTTAAAGTCAAAGGGAAATATTTAGGATGTGTTTATGTCTCTTTTTTTTTTTTGTCAAGAACAATAGGAAGTGGTGATGCAACCATCATGCTGTATTTGATGTGAAATATCTCTCTTTTTAGAGAGAAGCCTGATTCAAAATTGAAGCCAAAACCTCTAAGAATGAAGATTACAAATGGGCATCTATATTCTCTTAGATTACAAATGGGCATCTATATAAGAGAGAAAATAACTCCTGGTTGCAACTGTGAAATAATTTGCCATTCTTTACATGTTTCCAGGAGTGCCCAAGCAGGGTCACAGATGGAACTAATTTTTAAGAATTATTCCCATCAAAGTAACCTGCTTGAAATAGGTCATCCTGTCTCCTTTATTAGTGAGCCAAAGATTTCTGCAAGGACAGTGTACTTCAGCCCTGGGTTTTACCTTTATCTGGTGTGTCTATCTTGGCTATAGTTAGAGTGAAACTTCCACCGATACTCAGCAGCCACACTTCCCCTGTGGCAACTTGCAGCCAAATGCGACCAATAAGTTTTGTGGCATAACCCACGCTGCAGTTCCTCCCTTCAGCTGAGGGATCAGCCCGCACTCAGGTTAAGTCCTGATGAACAACCTGAAGAGCAACATGTCAAAACCTATCACTCGTGTGCTCCTCTGGGTGGCTGAGTCATGGCCTCGCCGGCAAGACCTTCTTTACCAAGTCCAGGTCTTCCTCAGGGCTCTGGTTCCAGGAACCAGCAGGGCAACAAGAGTAATATTATCAATCACATGGGCGTATTTTATGATAGGATCAGAAAAACCTGACTTTCCGAAGGTTGCAGTGTTTTTACACAATCACTTGGTAGCACTCAGCTGAATGTTCAGGATGCACTAAGTATTAGAGCTGGAAGGAGCCATGCTATCATTGCTATCATTTAACTGATAACAACACAGATGGCCAGAGAGGTTGCAAAGTTATAGTGTTCCAATAGTAAATCTGAAAGCATCTCTCCAGTCTCCCAGTCCAGCGCTCTTTCCTATTCATCTTGCATCTTGTTTCTCTTGATCATTTCCTTTTTTTGTTTCACTATGTACTTAGATACACATAACTGCAATTTAATTTAACAGATACTACCAAGGGATTGCATAGCTGTGACTTAGCATATGTACCCACTCCCAAATGCTCATTTTTTAATATTTTCATAATACCCTTATGAGAAAAAAAATTCTTAGCTAAGTGTAAGAATGTACGGAAGTGATCTGAGACCAGTGAAATATCATATGAGAGAAGGGTCTTATAAAACATTGCCAACTGCAGGGTAAGCTTGCCCCACAAGCACAATCAAGGTTGTGCAGTTCAGACAGCCCTGCTTTTCCCGCCTTGAGCTGCTTATAATGTTCTGTCTGTGTCATCTGGGTGCATCGTAAGTGTGTGGTGATTTTGCAATAAACACATGGTAACTATCATGCAAGCAAGAAGAAGAATGACAGTGCAAAAAATAATAAGGTCAGGTTTTAAAATGAAAGGCATCCTTACTCTTTCAAGTTGAGAAATTCAAGTAAATTATTGATATCTCACATTAGTGACTGAACATGAAAATGAAATAAAGAAACGAGGTCATATCCTAGAGAGGTGAGCATGTAAGCATGACACACAGATACAGATACAGACACACACACACACACACACACACACACACACTCTCACTTGGAGGGCACTCCCTGCTAGGCTGGAAGCTTGATCCCTAGCAAGGCCCTGTAAATGACAGCCTGTAAGGGCAGGAGTGTGCTCTTTGATAAGGTCCATCTGTATTTGTTCTCTTAACCATTCTGTCCCTAGAGAATTTTGTCCTCAGGCTTTCCTTTTCTTTTTAGCGCCAGGCTCAGATTGCCCACCTAGATCTGGTCCTTGATGCACCCTAGAAGCTCACATACTTGGGGCCAGTACCCTATTCAGAAAGACACTTCTGAGCTCCTGCATGTTCAACTGTATTTCACACCATGCTAGGATTTGGGTAAACCATCAGCTGATGACCAGATTCCAAGAGGAAATGTCAAATTTGAATTATTTTGAAAATTGCACTATTTTCCCCTTCAGTTTGTCTATAAAGACACACTAATGACTAATAGAGTTCTTGCATGGCCTTGCTTTTTTGGCTGTAATGGTGAACCTAATATACACAATATTTCTAATATGAAAATATCTCCACTTTATTAGACGCATATTTTATTAGACATTTAAGATTCCTAGATAATTTGAAAACCTGAATGCAAGTAAGTATCTGACAAAGATATTGGAAGTAAAATTGGATTAGGGGTCAGCATCAAAAAATATGTCTGTCTTGGTCCTCAGTTTCCTCATCTGTAGAGATAAGGCATTAGTTAGAATTGGTTAGAATAATTTTTTTATTACTACACATTGGCTGCTTTATCTCCTTTATTGGCCGTTGAAATGGTAGCCTACCTTCTCTTTCTCATCCTCTTTAAAACACAGGTGAAGAATGTTGAATTATCCAGGTAACTGTCTGGATCTAAAATATAGTTGGGTTAGCAAACACACCCTACGATGACTTCTGGCTCTGAGAGGAATGACTGAGTAGAGAGCACGGATGGTGAAGGACACAGATATATTCCAACTTGTCAAAATAATGCCAACTATAAAAGGCTGGCCGAATTCTTTCACTATAAAAAACTGCATTACAAAGAATTTACTCTTCAAGTATTAATGGTGCAATTATGTTTTTCTCCCAAGAAGGGATCGAAGGAAGAAAGGAAGGACAGAAAGAAGGTAAGAAAGCAGGAAGGCAGGAGTAAAGGAAGGAAGTCAAGAGGAAGGAAGGAAAGAAGGAAGCAAATAAGTATGATTAAACTCTTTTCCCTCAGAGGGAAGAGGTGGAATGATTAATAACTTAATAGTGCCCCCATCAAATAGGAAGTTTCTCTTTCTTCTATCAAAACATGCGAAGTAGAATCTGTTTTTTCTTTCACTTATCAAAAGAGATATAATTTATTACCTTCAAAGTCCACATCTCCAACTAATTTTGTCTTTCCTGTCACCGGATCATGGACGTAGTTGATACCCACATCAATGACAGCAGCGCCTTCTTTAACCATATCAGATGTAATCAACTTCGGAATACCTGAAAGCAAAACAGAGTAGTAAAACATTGGGAAATATTTGAACTTCGTCCTCGAGTATGACAAAGGTTGATACATGTAATGTTTTGGTTGTCATGGCTTTAAAAAATATACAAAATATTTTGTTCCTAAGGAAGAAGCCAACTGCACTTGGTCATTTCTGATCAAGCAGAAGAACAAAAGTAGCACATGGTGGCATCTCTGGATGAAATCCTGCCAGGATTTACCCTTTCACCTTAGAGACTGCTTACCAGACTTCTCCAAACGAATATCTTCTTGAGCAGCATCTTTTTGTATTTCAAGTACTATAAACAGCATGAGATTATGGAAATAAAACAGGATTCTGCTGAAGGTGAGTGGAGTGGAGTGAAAACAACTTGGAAAATGGAGGGAGAGTGAAGGAAGAGAGGGAAGGAGGCAGAGAGGAAGGAAGGATGAAAAGGATGGTAATAAATCATATTCCTCAGGGTTGTGGTAAACTGTAAAGTGCTGTTCACAAAGTGATATCTCATCAACTCCAAACATGAAAGGCTATCTTGAGCTTTCTTTTTATTTTTTCTTGGTTTCATTGATTCATTTTATCTGTATATGACTTGGAAAGGTGTAAGATACAGTAAGTTCTACTCACTATTTTTCCATTCCAGTTTGAAAGGTACTCTACAGAGATCTTACATCACCATCTATTTTCACAACTCATTTCAAATGTTATTTCAACAGTACCAGCTAACGATGGCTAGTGTTCCATTTGTTTTTGTTAAAAATTAACAAACTGTTCCCAAATTTAATGTCTTAAAACAATAATTTACTATTATGTTTCAATGATTCTGTGAATTAGCTGAGCTCAGCTGGATGAATCGTCCTTGGGGTCTTTCATATAATTAGAGTCAGATAGTGGCTGAGGCTGGAGTCATCTAAAGATGTGGCTCGGCTGCTTGTCTAAGATGGCGCACTCACTTGGCTGCAACTGATGCTCATGGTGGCTGAGCTCAACTGGGGTTGTCAACAGGAGCACACAGGTGTGGCCTCTCCACGTGGCTCGGGCTTCTCACAGCCCAGCAGCTGGCCTCCAAGAGTGGGTGTTCTGAGCGATAAGAAATAGAAAGTGCTCGTTGCACAGTGTCACTTCTGTCATATTCTATTGGTCAAGCAGTAACAGAATCCACTTAGATTTAAAAGGGGGAATAGAGATGCCACTTCTCAATGGGAGGAGAATTAAAGGATTTGTGACCATCTTTTCTCTACCAGAATGCCTCTGGTGGACATTGTGTCTGGTAGGTGATTTACACACTTTCACATTCTACATCCCTTGCTAGAAAAGGGTTACTTATTGTTGTGTTGTCAGAGGCTTTCCTTTAGCATCTGAATATCCACTAAGCATTCCAGATGGCTTAAATGTCACCCTGTGATATATGCTAGTAAGAACTGAAAGGCTATAAAGTGGCAGTCAGTGCCAAAACAGATGCTGCTATCTGATAGGTTCCTCGCTCATATAATGATACCAATGAAGCATCAATGATTAAGATATATTTTTTCTCTTGCTTCCAATACTATCCCATAGAACTTCTTCCTTTCTATCAGTTCTCACATAGATTTTGAGTATTGCTCTAAAGATAGTTATAAAATCCTGTTTCTTCTTGGCATCCAATAGAAAAAAAAACATAATTGATTGTGGCCACAGGAAATATTTTTATGATGAAAATGTCGATGAAATAGTTGTTAAAATCCGGCTCCTGTGCTTTTGAGAAAGATCCAACTCTCCCTTCCAAATGTAATTGTTCATTACAATTTCTCAGAGAATATCAAACTGGCAATGGTCAAGTCTACAATGTTCAAAATACAGGGAAATGTGAGCTTGATTTTAATTCCAGGAAAATTACAAAATGGAAAAACCTTAAATGCATGTTTGTTTTTTTCTGATGATGATGTTATGTATGTCCATTGTAGAAAATCTGAAAAACATCTACAAGTTTAAAATTACAATAAAAGTCACTATAATCTTGCCATCCAAAGACGGTAAATGCATTTTATTGTTTTTATTTCTAGGATTTTGAAATATTTCTGTATTAGATATAAAGTACGATGCCTGTTAATTTTGCTTGTATTGTGCCTCACTATGTATCTTACCACTTTGCTTTAAAATTAAAATGTGAGCATTTTCCCATTTCATCAAAAATTTGAAATTTAAAAACCACATGAAAGAATTATATGAATTATCACAATAAGCCATTCATTCCTGCACTCATTGCAATATTTTGCTGCTTTAAGTAATGCAGTGATGATCATTTATGCTCAGAAAACTATGATGATTTCTTAATTGCAGCATTAAATTTGACAAAAACTTTCACTGAACCCTTATTAATATGATGGAAAAACATGGGTTGGATAAAAGCTCTTGTTGGTAGTTGTGGTAGTTGTGATACTGCTTAAATAACATATTCTGTCTGAAACTACGAATGCATCTGTAAGGAGGTCTATTGAGGTCTTCCATGAAAAATATTTTTTCAGTGCCATTTTCAAATTTTATAAACAACTCTGAAGAACACATTGGCACTGTGATGGTTATTTTATCTTTGTCCTCCCCCATTTCCACCTTTCTCTGCTCTGTTTTATGGCAAGGATGAGACTGGTCCTTACAGAGGTTTTGTGTGCTTCCTGTCACTCTTGGAACTCGTGTCACAGCCACAAGTACAAGTTCATGCTAGCCTACTGGTGGATTCAAATCCTGTAGAAGAGAGCTGAGGTGTTTCAGTCCTGGACTCTCCTGGACCTACCTCAGTCTAAACCTGATCATTCCACCTCCGATGTAGACTCTTGCTTCTTACATGGATTTGTACCATATCCCAAATTCTTATACTTACCTTTCTAAATGGCATCGTTTCACCAAGAATAATTTAGAATTATAATAGCTATTCTGAGGAACTTGTAATGTGAACAAAAGTGTTCTTTTGAAAGGTGCCTTAGAACATAATGAATACAATTCCAAGCATCCAGTGGTCTGCATATTTTAGTTTTTGAGGAAGTATCCAAAGGCATTTAGATTCCAAAATTGTTCCCTTAAAAGATGTCTTGGCCAAGCAAACAAAAGGTGAAAAACTAATAATGGTCTCTCTTTTAGGTCCCTCTAAATCTCAGTACAAATCTAACAGCCTTTATCCTGTTATTTACCTTCCCCCAACCTATGTTTCTCCATTTCCTCTGACTTGTTCCTTTTACCTTCTGGCTGACTAGAAATCCCCAAAGTGCAATTGCTTCATAAAATTAAATCCCCCTACCTGATATAGGAAAAACTGCACTGGTTTTACGATCTAGTCTCATATTGAGCCAAAAGCCAAATATTAAAGTTGTTTTAAAGCCTAGAAAGAAAAAATAATTGCAGAGGAATTAGGAATAGTTTCAGGAGTGTATAATCCAGCATCCCAAAAAACATCAAATAGTACATATGTTCAGATGCAAAAGAACTGGATGGAAAGACAGCATTCAAACACCCCAAACTGCGTAAGAAATCAGAGGGTTTTAGAAAAACTGTGTATATTGGAAAGTAGCCCCCAAATCATTCCTATAAACATACATTGAACCCTGATTCAGTCCCATAAGCAAAGAAAGAAACCATCCTCCAGGGAGTTCAGAGATGGGCTCCATAATACATTTTGTGTTCAGAAGTAACTCCTGATAAAGATGTAGTGAGCTCTCTAACTTCTGTGAATAACCTTAGCCTGAAATTTAATACACAAGAAAAACGAGAATGGATAATAGCCCCATTGCCAGACTTCCAGCACTTTGCTGAGCATTTTTGAAAGAACGTAAGAACAAAACAGAGTAAGACTCAGAGTAAAGCTATGGCCTTATGGATAAAACAATTAGACACTCACAGTCATTAAAGAGGAAGACACAAAGAGAGAAATAGAAAGAACATTGGCACAAAAGAGAAAAAAAAAAGGAAGTGAACAAAGCACTTTGTTCTTTGAGCAAGACAAGAAGCAGAAGGAATCAAATACCCAATCTCTCATTTTATCCTTAAATTCACAAGACGAAATTTCTAACAATGCTAAAGGACAACCTTTTGCTTGATCTGGGCACAACTTTATTAGCCTTAAACTTTTTTATTCAATATCTCCCTTGGAGTAAACAGACTACTCAAGAGGTGGGTCTCTAAGAATCCTCAGACATTCCTCATGCCCTGGCCTGGAGCAGAGGTATAGTCTTGCCTCCTCAGTGACCCCACACTTGCTAACTTGATAGGGAGAGATGTACACTGAAAATGGTATTACCAGCAGATTTAATTATTTCTTGATGGGCTCTTTGTTAAAAATCCCTGAGGACTCCCTAGTCATAATGAGGTCACAGCTAATTTGAATACTGACTTATGCTTACTTACTTTCTAAATCAAGCCCCAATTGAAAATCTCAAAGAAGTGCCTGAGTTTTTTGTGGGTTACACATCTATGATATTGGCAGCATTAATGGGACTGAACTTCTGTCTAAATGTACATAATACTCTCTTAAAGCACAAGCTAAGGAAAGACTAAAAAAAAAAAAAGGACTGATTGTTAACACTTTCATCCTTCTAGTTAACAATACCAATGGGATGAGGATATAGATTCATTCAGAACTTTAGACGCATAAATAGAATATTCATTCCCTGGTTCCCTATAGTAGCAAACTCGCATTCTATCTATAGGACCTCCTGAGACTATATACTTTACTTTTAGATGTGTATTTTGTTTTCTTTAGTGTCCCTTTAGATCAATAATCAATACTTGTTTGCCTTATTTTGGAAATGTCAACAATATACATACCTGTGCTGTTATACCCTCATACTTTTTACAAATCCTCAACCAGGACCTAAAGAATCTGAAATTTCCATGTAATTCTGCTCTTATCATTCAGAGGAGGATTTGGGGCAGAACACATATTTCAGAAAATACGATTCAGAAACTGAATTTCAAGGTTCTAACAGTTCAGAGTATGTTTATGTTATGCTGGTCCATCAGCAGATATATTCC